AATAGAAAAAATAAAGACAATAATATCGAATCGACATACCGATGAGGTTCCTTCAGATATTCACAGTACATGAAATGAAATTGCTCTTGGCGATTCAGGGCATGTACGGTGCGGATGTTTTCCACAGCCTGAGATGCGACCTTACCGGCCTCCTCCAGAAGTTCTGTGTCCCGCATCTTCTTACCGAACTAAATAATAAACGAGATAAATACTAAATCAGTGTCTCATGAATCGCGCACGTATGCGGGCTCTGGTCATGGTTCTGCTTTCAGAAAGCGCAGCCGTGGCCAAAACAAAGATTTCTTGAAACGAGCAGGCATGCCTCACAACGAAATAACCCGTTCGTTGAGCCTGCAGGAGAATCCTCTCAATTACGGGCTGTAGCAGTGTCGACAGCATGCTGCCGACACGCCCACTCGTCTGTGATTGGCTATTTCGCGCGTCGATACTTTACCAATGCAGGTGCAGCCAATCATAGATGAGCGTTTGCTGCAGGACTTTTTGGTTTTTCTAAGTCAAGTCATTTCATTATTATTTACATTTCGGCGTACTGTATTAGTGTCGCATCATACTTTGCAGTCGGAGGTGGGGATACGTATCGACCACGCGATACTGCAACTGCATGTGCGATCGATACGTATCTACTCCGAGGAGAAAATACAGGATCGCAAAGTATGACGCAAGCCTTAGTTGGGGGGGGTCAATATCGCAGAGCCTGACGGCACCGCATGCAGCCCGCAAGGAGTCGGCTATACGTTCATAGAGTACGAACACTACCGTAGTGACCACCAGGACTTCCGAAGGACTAAATTGTAGCCTAAAATAATTCCACGCACCTGCATTTGCATTTCGAAGTATCCACTGCCAATAATTAGAGGCACCATGACAATGAGAATCAAAGCCAGCTGCCATCCGAAAACGAACCCAATGACCAACGCTCCAACAATGGTCACTGCTGATGAGATCACGCCCGGAAGACGAGTGAACACCTTAAAATAAATGTTTAACCGGATCTAATATAATCTGAAAACGGAAAGGGAGTACTCCACTGAAATTCTGTTCAGGAGAGTAATTCATGGCAATAACCACAAATGTTGATGTTCACTTTGACGCGGCAACACATTCATCGAGCGTCCAGAAACGCTCATCCTATTCCACTGGCGCGTCTATCACCAAGAGCCGGTCATTTCCAGAGGATCCAACCGAAAGCGATACCCCGCCGAAAACGTCAGCTGACAAAGGGTTGATAATATTTGTTCGGCTTGATGGGAAGGGGGTGGGACTGGTGAGACTCAGTCTGCAATTGAAAGTATCTCCAGCCATGCCAAGGATTTCGCGATAGCCGAAGGTGCAACATCCTACCACATATAATAAAAGATTGTTTCTGATATTGGGGCAGGAATGAGGCGGGCGGAGGTTACTGATCACGCTGGGCGCCACTCCCACGCGGCACACTACAGGATGTTTAAACTCTCGGATGCGAACATTGTCCAGATCGACCAAGCCGTCCATTCTGACTGGCCTCAATGGTACCAGACCTATCTGGAGTTATAGAAGACACACGATTGTACCCTATAGACCCTTTTATATCTCTTGAGGCGTTTAACTGCTGTTCTTGCCGAGGTGAGCATGAAATAGGATCTAGGCACAGGGAACTTCATGACGTAGTGTTACCGTCAGATAACAACATTCTTTTCCATTATAGGCAGAGGGGAAGGCTAAATGTCCTCACCTTCGAAAGAGGGTTTTCGGGAGAAAGTGCGTACAACTCTTCAAAATACTAAAAATTCTCAGATATACAATGACTTACATAGTAGAGGAGCAGGGCCATCCCTGCATTAAATGACATTTTTCAATACAACTGGGCGTGGCCGTGCTCCCTATGCACCGGCACCTGGCTACACTTGCCACTTGGTTCACTCAAAAAAATCAAAGTATTTTTTAAACATATCGGAAGCATTCGATTGTCATCGCGTTTGCAAAAACCGCGTCGAGCAAAGTTTGCCGGTCCCGTGCCGGATGTCGTCGTAGAATCCCACATCTTGTCGGAGAAGATTCTTGAACGCCTCGAAACGTAATTTTTTCGTCAACGCTTCGCCACAACGACCCAAACAGATTGCCTAAAAAGACATGGAATCGATAAATGAATCCTTAAAATATACGGTCAATATCTCTCATCCAATTTTTCATGACGTCAAGAAATCACAAAGATCAAGTTTGGGATTGAGAGGGCAGGAGGACTGAATTTCCTGGGAAAGAGAGACAGACAATGAACAAAAAAGCCCAAAAATAGCGATGAATAAATCACGGAAAATCTAGAGAAAAGGTAAAGCTGAGAGAGAAGCGAAAGAGAGATAGGGGAGGAGTGATAGAGCAGCAGAGAGAACAGAGAATTAGTAGTGAGGAGAGACTAAGTCCGATTTGAGTGAAGAGAGAAGTCTAGTTTCATAAGTGGTGACGTGGAAAAGGTCCAAAAACAATGGTAGAAAGAAAATATTGAGAAATTAACATTCGAAAATACAGCAAGGAGGAAAGAGATTGAGGGAGGTGGAGACGGAGGGAAACAGCGTGAGAAGCGAGAGGGTGCAGAGAGAGAGAAAAAAATACATGGATAGGGGAAAGAAAATGAAAAATGGATTAACTGGAGGAGCGAAACAAGATGGCTTTTCAAAGACGGATATAAGGAATGAATGGAGGAGGGGAACGGGTACCAGTGATCACAGCAAGAACGAAGCAGAATTTCTCCAACTGCAAATCAAACCAATCAATTAATCGATAAAGGAACTGACTGAAGAAGAAGAACGCAGACGCATGTACGATACCAATAACAATGAATGCACCACACCAGAACATCACATCGCTTTTCATCTGATCCACAGGTTCCGAGTATACCTGAATTAGGTCCTGTTAGAAAATCATTCAACATCCAAAATCCCAAAAAATCGGTACTCAGGAAAATCAATAAGCTACGAGGCGTACCTGTATAATCTGTGCGTACAAAACAGCAAATACCGGCGTGACAGTACCAGTAACGATACAAGCGATGAGTCCCAAGGCGAAAAATCCCCACTTGTCTCTGTTAAAGTAGAACAGTTTTGACATCGGGGTCGGTTTGGCACGGAGATCCTAGAAATTGACAGGATTTTGCACAAAATATAGCACCTTACGCATAGTCGTAAGTACCGTTTATACTTTCACAATAGTTGGCTTGGAATGCACAGAATTCTATGAGACCTGTTCACTTCGTTAGGTAAATTATTAGATGTGAGTTGTTGTTGACCAATAAACATTTTCAGGATGATGAGCCAATAATGTGCCAAATAATGAACAGGAAATGGCGCGCGCGGTTGCGCTGCGTATACCCAACGAACGCGCCACGATCGCGCGCCTTAGTAACAGATATGCCGGCTAAAATATCCGCAATCGGTCAGAAAAATCCTCTGCTTATCACCACTGCATAGCCGTGCTTCTCTAATTCCCGTAAATTGAAATTTGTCACGTCGCAATGCAGCTATAGGAGCTCAACGTCAACCGTCATGTCTCGTGATCAATACATATCAAATGCATTGCAGTAAAGAGGACGAAATATATCTGACCTAAAGGCATATTCCCTTACATGCTTGGAACATTGCGCCCTTGAAAACTACCAGTTGAGGTGAATGGTCCAATAGTACCGCGTGAAAGCAACAAAAACCTGGATAAATTTTTTGGAACAACCCTGTGCTTGTCGTGTATAGGCGAGTTTTACGGCCCTGCGAAGTACCACAGACTGGCCCCGTCTATTTGCCGTATTCTACTTTATTACCACAACAATATCAAAAGTATGAGCTAACCAATGAGACTAAGGAGAAGTGAGCGCAAACTCCGCCCACATGATCGGCGCGCAGTTCATTCTACTATTACAAGCAACTATTTGAATATCTTTTCGTTCCTGATGGGCTTATTTCCACGACTGTTCATATTCGAGCGTCATAACTCACAATTATACAATCGGTAGTGGTGCCCCGGGGTTGAAAAACACCATGAGAAACGGCTCAGAACCCGAGAAATGGGACCCTTTTTGCCCGTTGATTTCCGCATTGATGCGACTCTCATCGGTGCTGCCCTCTTCAACGCTAACGCTCTCTCTGCTAAACGGCTAGAGACCTGCGGCGAGTGGTTAGCCAGTCGGTGGGCGTGCCGCGCGATAGCGCCGCGGGGAGGGCATGCTAGGTCGCCGGGAGCATATCCTTTCTGGGAATGGCGTGTTGGTCTCTTCGACTTTCGATCTCATCGTGCAATCCTCCTTTGAACACCAATATGAGGATTTTCCTGAGCGCGCCTTCCGGAGCCAAGTGAGCGCAGCATTTGTGGATCGGTCCTTGTCGTAATGGGCACGGATTCCATTATCTCACGGAAAGCTACTGCATTTATGCAATCCGACACCATCCTGCAGCGCACACGCGGTACAGGGTGGCAGGAGGTAACTCACCTCCATGTCAAGCTGCATACTCCGAACGCTGGTGACGATAGAGACTGCACTTCTTGTGGATGCTTTCCGTGACCGCAGTGTGTCGAAGCGACTCAAGCTGAGGTCTGGAGACAGGACATCCGACTCGGCATCACTATCTGAAAAGTCAATAATCACGGATATATGTTGAGGCGTATTCCCTCTAGCATGCACCATGCACATGAATTCAATTCAAAAATGGCAGGCACGATTGAATGCATGGAAAGGGTCATGCAATGGCTTGCAGATACAGATGCAGATGCAGATCTGCCTGACAAATCATAACCTTATTTGAGCCCTACGTTACTTTACCGACCCGACGGGCTGGAAGGCTTGGTTCGTTCTTGGCTAGGAATCGAAATAGTAACCTTGGGCACACGACTAGGCGTTTCTTGGCTATTCTCAGCGGGTGCTTCTATTTTCTGAAATATCCCAGTTTTGCCTGTTCTATACAAAACATGAAAAAACCAGGGATAAACTGACCATAATTCTATCAAAAGAATATTTAGGCCAAGATGAGTTCCAACTTGGTCTAAATATTTCTTCTGCCATTCAACAGTTATTTATTTATTATTTATTTGTTTGCCTATTTACTTGCATTCATTTACTTATTTACATACTTCTTAATTTATTTATTTGATGACTGCATTGAAGCAGACATGAGAAAACATTCACCACTGTTTGGATTGGAACCTTTCTCTTCCAAATTCGTATAACTTCGTATAATGTATATCAACCATAATGTCATCTTATTGAAAAGTAATCCCTTGGAGCGTCGCGGTTGGTGCGGTTTTTTATATTTTTGCTATTGAGAACCCACCTGCCACAGCTATGCTGCATTCAGCAAATAATTCACATGGCTTACGCAATATTTGAATATGCTCAACTCACGCATTCTGAATCATGTTTTTCAGCTTAAAGTCCATTTTTGGACTAGGAATATACGAAAAATTGCACTAGATTTGAACCGAACCTGGGACCGTCTTCCTCCTTCTCGTTGTCTAAGGACACTGAGCCTTGTGTCAAATTTCAAAGAACGCTCTCTCTTTTTTGTCATACAGTTTCAGCATGCGTGCCCCTTGCTCAACAATCTCTCCATTCTGGAAATCGACCAATCACATCGATTCGTTCAACACTGTGTCGTGCGACGCGAATGTCGCTTGTGCATAACCGTTACTCACCTTGAAAACGAAGATTTGGATCCACATTTCTGATTGTAGACAAACGATGGGCAACAATTACTGTCGTTCGACCCTTTTGAGCCTGAGAATGGTTTTTTCAGTAGACATTTACAGTATGGTCCCTTACATTTACTGTGGGTTAATGGCCGCGACGGCAGAAGCAGGTGCCGGATCACTGCAATAAGTACCCGTTCTTCTCTCAAGCTGTTCTGTATCAATCGACTTCCGCCTCGCGATCCAGGGCACTAGTGGCCTCATCGAGCAGAAGTATACGCGGGTTTTTAATGATTGCACGAGCAATGGCTGTAATATGAACAATCACTTACATAAGTAAAACTTATTTGTTCTTATTTGTTTCAACTGTTTCGCGCCTTGAACTAATTTTTTGCCTCTTGTTTCTGTTTTTACTACTCTTGTCAAGAATATGTATACGAAATTAGCACTAAATTTTCGCGCGTAAAATCAATACCTATTCTAAAGCGTTGGCTTTGATGTATGGAGTCGAAAAAATAAGTTATCAACCAAAAACTTTTCGTATAACGTGATGCCCTATACTCTGTTAACTAACTTTCATAAATGTTAATTGGAAGAAAGCCGCCGATCAGCAACATGTTGTGCTGAAAACGGGAATATTCTCTCGAATAAGCTTTTTTATTATCCAAATCTTACCTACCAAATTCGCTGTTTTTGTCCACCGCTTAGTTGTACACCACGCTCTCCAACGCGAGTACCGTATCCGTCCGGAAGTCGTTTGATAAAATCGGCTGCATTTGCCTGAACTTAAGAAATGATATGTAATCCCGCGCATTCCGTGCAAAGAAAGATGTGCTTGTAGTTTTCAGAGGGATAAGGCTATCTACCGATGGCGTGGGGCACGTGGGGAGGGGTCCGGCTGGTAATTTGTTATACATGGTACGGCCCCACTTATTTGCGTAAGGGGAGACATTTTTACTCGCAGTCCTCGCTGAGCAGTTCCTATCTCGACAGTCGATCCTTCCCATTCCAGCACCAAACAATCCTGCATTTACAGAATCGGGCTCATACCTATTACACTCCATGGCAGCTGCTCCTACCGTCTGAGCCACTAACCATAAGCTCCTCTCTTCTCGAAAATCCTTGTATTATTATTTTGGTTTGGTTTATGCATAATTAGATCTATCATGAATGTATCTATCAACCGTACTCTACTATAAGGGAAGGAGGGAGCGGAAAGCGTCCCCGCAAGTGGCACGCTGCACCACTGCGCGCGGTCGGGAATGGAATCCTGGCTGATTGTTGCCGCTCTCGAGGCCAACCAAGCCTTCCATCCCTCCGGGGTCGGTTAATTGGTACCGGACTTGTCTGGGAGGATAAAAAAAAACACTGACTTGTACATCGGCTGGCCCCCGCAAGTCATTGTATAGGCCACATCGCATTCAAACGCCACTACGACGCCCATGTCGAACCATGAATAGCATTATAGAATGCGTGCTGCAATCCCAAGTGGGATGATCAACGCAAAAGCTTACCGGCTTTAACCTTCATTCGAGTCTCTTTAATAATAGTTGGTGTAGAGCAACATGAAGTAAGTAATTATCCTGCGCAAAATTGGAAAAGAGCTTCGAACGCAGTTCCGGTAACACGGTAAAACGGGTACCCCCCAGGAGGCCCGTCGCGCGGCAAGAAGGCAGAGTCGGCGGACGAGTTGCAGCGCGTGGTGTGCGATGTAGGACGTGCAGTGGGACACTCTATTTAACTTGACGCGAAATCCCTATAGTACGCGCGCGACTCGTCCGCTGACTTTGCCTTCTTGCCGCGCGACGGGCCTCCTGGGGGTACCCCAGCCAAACATGGAGCATTCTCCGGTGCGACGTAACCCCCACCAAAGAGTGTGTGCCCTGTGATACTCGCATTAGAAACTGCCAAAATGCTTGAAATGTTACTGTTTTGTTGTTTTTTCTGCAATTATAAATCCAATCGACGCACTGAGGCATGCTGATGGTTCATGACGTAGCTGAACCCAGCCAGAAGAGAGGCTCGATCTCGCACAGGTTGTAGTGACCCATCGCAGTACGCAGTGCTCATATTTTCCAAACACCGAAGAATTGTTTAAGTGAAACTTCAAACAATTTCGCTTTGTCGTGCTTACACCACATTCCTTTTGCGCGAGTTTCAAGCATTCCATGCCAGAACGGTGAGACATTCGTGCTTTCCGTATGAAATCACTCAGAGGAACCATATTCCACCAAGATTTGTTCTCAGGTAAATTTTAAGAAAAAATCGAGCTCATTCTTTTGAAGAGGGGGGAAGGCGTAAATGATAAAATGTGCTAGAACCTATACTCTTTCACGGGATACTTACAATACGACAAGCTTCCTGGACCTCTTCCATAGTGGCGTGCTCATATCCCATTCGAATGTTCTCAAATAATGTCCCATCGAATAGTACTGGCTCCTGGAACGAGATGAGGAAGATATATGTAAAGTAATGGCACTCTTATACATGAACTAGTTAAAGGCACAACCCAGGCAGAGTCGTGTGAACGATTCTCTTCGGTCTGTAGGATAGACCCTAGAGGACAATCACAGATGTGGCACTCCCGTGCATGGAAATCACCGACAAGAGCGCTAGGCCTTGCAAAGAAGCTGCAGCAGCTGCAATTCCCCGTCCGCAGCTGTTGTCTGGCGCCCTCTCATCTGTTGCGCTCTCTCGCCTCATACTCTCCTCTCCGCGCTCAGTCTCTCATTGCCTTAGCACAGCCGATTACGAAGGTGAGTAAGCCCTTAACCTAAGCGTTTTCGACGGATCTTTTCCTTTTTTTTTACTGCCGGTTAAGGGTTGAGGAAAACCTGACCAAGTTAACCCAATCTATCGACGCCATATATGGGGTGTTATTCATTTTTTCCTTGACAGTAATGTGGAGTGGTGTAGGGGCGAGTGGCGCCGCTTAAACACTTGGGGTAGATCAGATCTATTTGAGCCTTAGCCTTATAACTCTCCAGGGTCAATGAAAAATGATGGACCAGTTCATTGGAAAAGAAACATCAACACGCACAGTCCCATCAGCACATAAGAGGGGGGGGGAGAAAGGCGAGAGAGCACAACGGATGGAAGAGGGCAGACACCAGCACACTAATAGAAAGAAGCGGTCGAAGCGGTCTCTGCGAGGCTGTAAGACCCTTGTTGCGCACTTCAAAGCCTGGAGAACGTGATGTCTGCGAGCTTCATCAACAGCTTCATCCTACCCACAAAAAGGAGTTCTTGACCTGATCCGTCGTGGGTCATGCCTTCAAA